CACACACACACACACACACACACACACACACACACACACACACACAAATCAACCACACAGTGTCATTTATCAACTTTGGAGAGGTTTTGGTTCTTTTTTTTTCTTTATAGCTATCCTTCGTTAAGAAATCTAAATCCAGTTTAAAAATATTTATTTTTGTGTTTGTTTTTCTATTCAGTAGATTTACACCCAAAGTTGCAAACAACCACCATCACATTTTTGTGCGTCTGATCTGAAAACGCCCTGATTTCTGGGCTTTGTAAAGCCCAGTTCTTGACTCTGTACCAAAGCACTATTATATACAAACATGGATAAATTTATTGGTACCCTTCTACACTAATCAAAATATTACAACTGTCTCATTGGTCCCAGAAACTTTGTAACTTCTGTGAATTCCTGTTTTTTCCAGGTTCTCTTTCCATGAAGCCCATGATTCAGACAGATTGAGGGATCAGAAAGGGACATATCTTGTCTTTGGAGTTTGACTTTAATAGTTTTGGATGGTTTCCTTGGCTCATTTCCTACCATCCCCATTATCTGTTTGATCAACCTGGGGCCGCATTTCCTCTTGCGTCCACATCCTGGGTGGTCAGCTACAGTCCCATAAACCTTACACRTTTCAATAATATTGATCGCTGTGGTCAAAGGAACATGAAGCTGCTTAGAATTGGTGTTGTAGTCTTTATCTTTAACATGAATATAAAGAATCTTATTTTTGAGCTCCTCAGACAGTTTTTGTCTTCGCTGCTCCATGTTCAGTGTGGTGCACACAACAAAACCCACCTACTCAGTGGCTGCTTGTTCTCTTTAAATAGGTTAAACAGCTGACGAAACACTTGAAGAAACCTGTAATACTTGACGTCAAACACTAAGGTTGAAACATGGCTACTGTGATGTTTTCAACCATCGTTTTTATTTTGTTTTTTAATAAACACTTAAATCTTTTAGTAACTCATTTAAAAATTAATACTCTCAAGTATCTAGGTCTCTCAAGTATCTTAGGTTTCAGTGACTTAAAGAGTCAATGACAATCATATACTTATACAAAAAGTCAAATAAAACATCTTTATATTTAAGAAACTTGGCATATTTTCTTTTGAGCTCGGCTCAGCCAAAGTGAAACAGGAAGTGACATCAAAGGGGAACTCTTTAAGAAATAAAATTCCCTGGTAATTTTTTTATCGAAACAATATAATTTGAACCCTGAATTTTCTTCATCTCTCTCTGACAGTGACTCCAAATAATCTAAAAATCATCAAATTCTTCTCTGCAGTCAGTGTTGTTCGCACAATGCTCTGTTTACATGCAGACATTCCCCTATGACATCACTTCCTGCCACTTCACATGTGAATATTTCATAAACTGTTCATCTCAGCTGCTTTGTTTTTATTTTATTTTTTGCAATGTGTTATTAGTGTTATCTTTCCAAAAGTCCACTCATATTTATCATGAAAAATTTGATGTYACAGGCACTTTAACAAGTTTTATGTGTTGCACAAACTATTTTGCAAGCTTCTGAACCAATAAAACCAAATGTTTACACTGGATTTACGCAGCAGAAGATGAGAAACATTTCTACTCTCTTCTACTTTCTACTCTTTTTATATTTTTTTCTATTCTCTACAGCTCCTAATCTGGGTAATCTGGCCTTGAGTCAAGATTCATCTGCTAATAAATTAAAACAAATGTATTATTCAATGTTGTGGCTACATTTATCGCCCTTTGTAAGTAAATCAGTTGAAGTGCAGCTCTGTTAAAGTCAGTGAGGTGTATCATCTGTGACAGATGCAGTCCTGAGCAACTATCATCTTCTGAGAAATGGTAGCACACTTTGCTTCTAGTGTAAACCTCTTCATGCTGCAGGAGAGAGGGAATACTCACTAAAATCCCTTTTTCCCCTCCTTTTCGTTCCCTCTCCTGCTTTTAAGATTCTTCTCACACACCTACCCATTCCCTCCTCCACCTTTTCTCTCACGAGCACTACAATTTTTCCCGCAATCTTATCTCTCTGGTGTCTGCATGTTCTGTTCGTGCAGCACGATTGTTGAGCTCGTGCTTCAGGTTTCCGTCCGTTCTGCCCGTCACTTAAGAGCGATAATACCKCCATTTTTTTTGTCCTCTCGGTCTGTCTCCTCTTCTTTCATTGTTAACGYCTCCCCTCTGCTTCTTTTTTTCCCCCTCGCCCTCTCTGTGCAGCACGAGCGCGAAGATACGAGCCATCGAGGCCAAGCTTCAGATGATGGAGGAGAATCCAGATGATAGCTACTCGGGCCCGTCAGCCTATGTTTACAACAAACCGCCTGAGAGGAAGCGCTGGGAGCCTTACTCCAAATCGCACCACAGTAACCAGAGCAGACCTTTCCGCAAGTTTAGGAGATGACCCATCCTTCCTCCTTAATCTGGAGTCCTCCCAGCCCCCATTTACTGCTCCTCAGCCCTCCATCTGCACACAGACGAATGTCCAGCTCGACACGCCCTAAATAAGATGTTGAAGTTTGAAGCAGGTGAGAGACAGCAGGACTGGAACAGGAACCAAGGTGAAGAACTGAAAGTGGTTTTCGTCGTTGCTGTCGGAGGCCACAGTGTCAGGTTTTAAGTGACTTTGGCTGCAGTGAAAGTTGTTTTTTCTCCTGTCAGTCGTGCAGATTAAGTGACACAATAACACGAGTGAAGTGTTGTTCTGGACTCTGAATGCTCATTCCACTGTTTGTTTGTTTCACGTCAGCTTTTATTTCAGATTGTGTTATCTGAACAATAAATTTGTGATTCTTTGTTTTGGTTGCTTTTGTTTTGGAGGCTTTGCTGTTCTGTTTGGCATTATTTGGAAAACTTGTCATTAATTTAAAGTAAGACGCCACACCGCAACACATATTGTTAGCTGCTAAAGTGTGTGTAAGAGAGTATGTCTTATTTTGTTTAGTTTTAAACCCAGGTTTTATATAAAAAGACAAAACTTTTTACAGACTTCTGGTTTTGTGTGGATATTTTTGGCTGCAGTATTTCTGTTAATTTTTTTTATTATTAAAGCAAAATTATTCTCATTGTAAATTATTGCTC